CAACAAAAGTACGGCACCCCTAAGCAGTGGCGTTCCGAGGAGGCCCTCCCCCCCCCCCCCCCCCGAGAACGGGTGGCGAAATTTTTGAAAATTACTCAAATGTGTTATAAAAATGTGCAGAAAACTTGCACATATTTACTTGTAAATAACTAAAATAATTTTTAAAATTTTTAAAAATTCAAATTGGCCGTGTAAAAAAATTTTGAGATCTGAAATTCTGAGGCCAGGGGCCCGGAATAATTTTGGGAAACATCCCGAAAAAATTTTTGGAGTGCGTGGACGCACCTTCATTGAAAAAAGATTCTTGTCCCCCTTCCCCCCGAGCTGAAATGGGTACGCCACTGCCCCTAAGACATGATTCTGAATGAATCAATAAAGAATATTGAAGAAGAATACAACAAAGCTCAAAAACAACATCAACCAAACGATAGAAACTACTAATAATATTTGTAATCCCCAAATTGGCGCCACGCTTTGTTCAGCGCACACCATCGAGCGCATGAGGCGGGATTGCCGCCAACATAAAAAATTAGAGACTGTAATTAGGCGGGGAGGAGAGAATTAGGGCCGCATGCACTAACATGGCCGCGGGGAGGGGATTGCAGCTTAAAAGAAAGCTTCATATTTCGAAACTTCAGATACTTGGATTTCACGTTGTGTATCCGTAAGTATTCCTACTATTCTTCACTATGAACATGCTGAACAGGAGCGAGAAGCTGTACAAACCGCATTTTCCAGCTTTTGTATAATCCCTGATGATCCCCGGGGCTTTTCTTTAAAGTCATTTTTCTTTCTCCGAAGTTAACGAAAAACTTCCACAGTTGTGCAGATTATCTAACCCAACAGTGCTAAGCATGTTGCTGATAGGAACAAATGATGTTTTGAAGTCATGAAATTTTCGATGATCCACAGGTCGAAATTTGGGGTATACCGAAAAAATCGATTTTCAAAAAATCATTTGTTCTCATCAACAACATGCTTAGCACTGTTGTGTTAGATGTTCAGTATAACTTTGGAAGGTTTTCGTTGATTTTGGAGAGAGAAAAATGACTTTGAAGAATAGATGTTCGTCCCCCAAGGACCATCAGGGGGTCCTACAAAAAGCTGGGAAATGCGGCTTGTACAGCTTCTCGCTTCTGCTCAATATGTTCATAGTGAAGAATGGTGGGAGTACTTACGGACAGGTAGACAGCATGAAATCCAGATATCCGGAGCTTCAGGATATGAAGCTTTCTTCTGAAGCTGCGATCCCCTCCCTAGCGGAAATGTTAGTGCATGCGGCCCTTAGTGTTCAAAAACTAGTTTGTAGCGCTCTGGATGTAGATTGAAGATATATAAGGAGTTTGAATAAATTATGTGAAGAGATAAAAATTTGTGACTTTGTCGTCGCTAAACCACCTCAGGTGGATTTCCAAGGGCTCTAAAGTTACTTAGGTCAGAAAAAACTTTGCCATGCTTCCAGTTCACGTAACTTTTTCGTAACTTTTCGTGCATGGTCTAACTTCGTATCTTCCATCTACACACCAATTTTGGTGCCATTTCATTTCTCTTCCCTGTAAACAAGACTTGTTTGATTCGGGGCTCTTTTTAAAATTCCCGCGCTTGCAGAGAGAGCGAGAAATTGCGATTTGCCGAGAATGGGATCGGTAGGGCACTAAGATGTGGAATACAAGAGGGCAGGTGTGATTGTGGGGCTTCGATAGTATGCATATGTATTGAAAAAAGCGGATAGGTTTCGTTTGTAGGAATAGGACCGCAAAATTTTGTTGGGTTGTAGGGCATGAAATTGCCTGCCACTCAAAATTTTATTACTCTGTTTATTCTAAATCGAACTAACTAGGTTACCCGGCTTCGCCCGGCCCTGTCAAAACACTATGATAAAGCTTCCATCTTTATCCCTGTACAATCTTTCCCTGTGCCTACTTCTACATACCAACTCCGACCCCACTCCCTATTCCCGCTGTATTATTTATCAGCATGCTCACCTACCCATTCGCAAATTCCCAGCCCCGTAGCTCAAAATTCGCAAAAAATCGATAAAGTCGAAAAAATGACTATTGATTACAAGAACTAATATTGTATTCGTAATCATCATGCTCGATTACCCCCTGTGCCAACTCCCAAACCCGTAGCTCAAACTTTGCAAAAATCGATAAAAATCGATATTGATCGATGACAAAAAGCAGCCTATGACACCCGCCCGGCCCCGAAGTGTATGTGTGGAAAATTTAGTCCAAATCGGTTTAGAGATAAAGATGTCTATTCGAAACATACATACAGACAGACAGGCATACAAACAGACAAACGGACATTCAGCTTTATATATAAGACTAACGACCCTACGGGTCGCTAGCAAGCGAGTTGGAACAAATCCATGGATAGATGTTGTTTCACTTTTAATTTTCCCAAAAGAATTTCCAAATTAGAGCATTTGTATCGCGGCAACCACTAAAAGCGAAATTTTCGAACTTTCTCAAGATTTGGGCGGATAGTGAATGATATTAGTCTGAGATAAGGTTTTGCTTTGAGGATTGTTGTACAGTTTTGCAGAGCAATGCTCTCAAAACCGAGATTTTCAGAGATTTTCTCGCGATGTGGACGGAAAGTGGACATACCGTTGTGATATAGTGTTCTGCCCTAAGGATCACTGTACAGTTTCCTTAGTTTCCTTAGTCTTAGTTAATTACAATGTTATTCTCGCACTCACATTTTGGAGAGAAGAAGCGAATTCAAGCAGAGCAGTTTCTCTCAAAAGCGAGATTGCCGGAGTTTGTCCAAATTTTGACAAAGAAGTGGAAAATACTTCCAAAAATAGCTCAGCTGGCATGAATGGGAAGAGCTTGAGAAAACGAGAGCATAATGAATCGAGAGGGATGTGAGCGTACCAATAAGTAGTATGTTTTTGAGCCTAACTTTCGCAACGAACACCATCTCGCCTATTTCCACACTTGGCACGCGCTTGCGTATTACGACACAGCTACTGCAGCAGAACGCACCTTGCGTGTCGCGATCCCTGGTTTGGGAGCTGTTCTGTGGCTAGCGTCTATTTAAAACAAACGTTCTGCCATACATATAGGAGGACCCATTAAACCGTCTCGTTTTTTGGGATCGGGTTTACATTATAGGATAAGATTTCAGTTTCAAATTAATTTGCCATCAAAAGTTTCTCTAAAAATCCTTTATACTTTGAGATTCCAATCCCGCAAAAAACGGTTGGCGTTTTTTATGTACACCATACCAAGCTGATACACAGGGCTCTGGACGAGGTGGTTTGTTGAAAGTGCAAAAACGAAGTCCCCCTTGACTTTCCCAAAATTATACGAAGTCCCCTTTGACCTTCAACCGTAATCCTAAAAAATTCCTCAAGAACCGAAACGTCGATCAAAAAAACTTCGCGAGTTCGTGTCTTTTCGGCCACAAAAGCTAAACTGCCTTTGCTTTATGTCCCAAAAACGATATCCAGCTTGCTTATAAGCCACCTGTGCCGAGCCATGTTGATACACGCATCCCCCCCCCCACAAAAAACTAGAAAATTCTAACCTTTTTGTTTGTCATTTGATGGACAGAACGGTTGCCGAAAAATGCGAGTTCCGCAAATGATTAGCTACTTCATTTTGCAGTTAATACAAATCTTACTAATTCTTTGCTCATATTAAGAATCCCACCCAAAATAAACTTTAAATTATAGAATGAAGAGCAGGCAAAATCGTTCATTCCATTTTTCGCTTTCAGTATCTCGGACTAGACAAGACCAATCAGGTTTTTGAATTTTCTATGAAAATTACGAGGCTTAGGCTATCGAATACATATGTTCTTGCCGACTTTCCTCGTGATTCACGTTGTAGCGCAGATATAGCATGTTACCGTAATTCAATATTTCCGTGTTATTTTCATCTGCATAGATAAGGAACGACTATATTTTTCCATAGTAGAAACGATTTTGATAAATTCTTACTGTGTAAAAAAAAGATTTAGCAGTGGCAACGAAAAAGGCATTTGAATGATTAAAAGTAAGTTAACGAGCACAACCCCCAAGGTGCGGCAAGTGTAGCACAACCCCCAAAAAGGTGCGGCAGCCACAGCTTTTCTGGAATTGTGTCAATTCCATTAACTTGATGCCACAGATTTTAGCGAACAAAATATATACAGTTCATTAGCCGAAATAGTTCAATAGTTTTCATGTAAGTGATCAGAGCTGGATTCGTATTCTTTCATTTGCGCAATAGTTGCTGGAAGCACAACAAATGTAAGGGAAAAGTGAGACAAATGAGTTTTGTGTGGCTCCTGACTCCATAGTTTGATGCTTTTTAAAGCAGGATTCATGGTGTGAACAAATAGGGAGTAGTACTTTGTATTGATTAGAAAAAGGGGTAGTTGTCATAATTTCGCGTTTTTGTGATTATGACCAAGGGACCCTATACCGTGCTGCGGTATTACACACTATATTGGTTGAAGGTATTGTGCGGCATAAGTTTTATCTTCCGGAACACAGTGACGCAGCTGAGCGGCTCGCTCGAAAAATTTGAAAAGTGCGTCTTGTACTCGTGATTCAATTTGAAATACAGTCAACCATTCTTGAATGATGGCCACTTAACTTGAGTGGCCAATCATTGGGAATCTTCAGAATTCGCTAAAATTTCCACAGGGGTTGTTACTGATTATGCTTGGTAGAGCCTTTATGTCATGCCTACTTACGGTAGGCAAACGATAAATAACGCTGAAAAAGGAATATGGAGGCATAGGAGGGATCAGCTTACTAAGCCAAGGCCTGATTCTCCCAGATCGCTTTAGTATCAACTTAACGTCCCAGAAATTAGAGGGTTTGGCTGGTCAGGGACATGGTCGAACTTCTGTCCGATCTTGTCATAACTGCGCCTCTACCACTGCGCACACTGGTCCCATTCATTCAATCCGTGAGTACCGAAATTTTCACTGGCATTGCTCTGCTTGTGATAATGATGTGCGACATGCCGGTAGAATCAATCTTTGATAAACTTAAGGACCTCCCTACCCTAAACCTCCCTACTGCTCCAAAGACTTCGAGAAGAGTGAGACTATGGCTGAATTCCGGAACTTCGCTAAGGCTCCAAATGAAGTCGAACGTTTTCTGGGCAAAAAACTGGTAAACCAAATGATCTGGTAGAACAAATCGAACTTCCAAAAGACTGATTTAGGCTGACAACGATAGCATAAAAAGATATGAAATATATTATATGAGTATAAGCTGGTTAAAAGCCATGTTCTTGATAAAGAAATACAACTTGCCTTTTTCTGACTGGACAGCTATGTTCGTGAAGATTACCGAGGTAAGTTCGATAATTCGCAACTTACCAATCCCCATGTTTGTTGCTATAATTCGCAGCAACGATAGAATATATTCTTCCTAAAAATTAGGCCACTCAAATTTTTCCCTTAACTCATTCAAAACTTGCGAAGTCTTGCAGAAAATCAACTGACATAAGACGGATCTCTAGTAGTAGAACGCGTTTAGTCGTTGACGATTTATTAGGAAAACACAAGAGCTCCCCCTCTGCCTATCGGCGTACATGCCGAGGATTCACTAGGAATAGCTCGAGAACAACACACAAATATATCAAAATGCGGCGGGTACGCCGCAACCACAGAGACCATATCGACCTAGCCTATGGTGAGCGAGCAAGTTCCAATATGAGGGACAACTCTACAACACCTTCCTCCTAAGATGAACAACGGTACATCTTACAATAAGGATCTACTTTTAGACGTTCTGGTGGGCGACGATGGCGACTTGGTCTGGTTGATGTCGGCGGCGTAGACGAGGTGGCTTGGTGTTCAGCAGCATCGATACCATTGTTACGTCGGCCTTCGTCGAGGATGGACGGTGTTTAGTCATGATGTCGATCCATACTTGCGGCGCGGCGCATCTGGTTCGCATGACGTCTCCATAACTGCCCATCTTCCGTAAGCACGTCATAAAGCGCTTCTCCATAGCGTTTCTTCATTCGTGCTGGAATCCACTTTTCACATCCAGAGCGAAAGTCACGTAACCACACTGCTTCTTCTGGCTGGTACGCTTTCCTTCGTGTTCCATGGTGGCGGTTAAACTGCTTCTCCATGGTTTCGTTGTCCATCTTTCCTTCTTTGGAATCTTCTTTCAACAGCGACAGCAGTGTCCCCATCTGACGTCCCAGTATCCATTATCTGCCAAGCGGTTCTCTAAAAGGAGTTATGAGCCTCGGTTGCTCGCTGACATGTCAAGTTTCGTTGAGTAGGATCCGCACCTGGGAACCACGTGTGGCCGTTTGGTGTAGTGGATAAGCGCGGAGCCTATGGAGCAGATGGTCGCGGGTTCGAGTCCTCTTCCCGTTTAACATTTTTGTAAGTTAAAAATATGTGTTTGTTTTGCGCTATAAGAGGTATCCCGACTTCAGATCATATTCTACTGCTGAGAAGTTGGGATTTTCGCAATTTTTCTTTCACCAAGGTTCTAGCCGCTGGTATGACAGTCAATGGAATCAAATCTAGTGTATGTGTGCGACAATGTGCTAGTGTGCCTGCTCTCAATATAAAATATGGAATTTGAAGCAGTATTTGAGTAAGATTTTTTTTTGCCTAAATCTAAAAGCAGAGGTATACATTATGAAAAATTTGTGATTGACCTGCAGAGCTGCTAATCTTGTTGAGACGGGAACGTAAACATGTTAAACAAGAAATTGGACATATACGGATATGTGAGTTTGACAAGAAGGAGCTTTACTTCTTGCTCAATGTTTTTGGCACTGTTGGTGGTATCAAATGTGCTCATTGCGAGAAGTTGCTCTGTTTCGAGCACTTTGTTCTATCCTATCATAGATGCGTATAAATGTCTGGTTACCAAAAGTGTGTCAGTGAGACTCTGTAACGATTCAAAATGTTAATTTGCAGCAGAAATTATGTAAGGACTCACATCACATTGTCATTCACATACGTAAGATATACCGCTGACTGTCATACCAGCGGCTAGAACCTTGGTGAAAGAAAAATTGCGAAAATACCAACTTTTCAGCAGTAGAATATGATCTGAAGTCCGTACATGTGCGCGGGATACCCCTTATAGCGCAAAACAAACATATTCTTAACTTGCAAAAATGTTAAACGGGAAAAGGATTCGAACTTTCGACCATCTTCTCCATAGGCTCCGCGCTCATCCACTACACCAGACGGCCACACCTGGTGCTCAGGTGCGGATCCTACTTAACGAAACTTGACATGTCAGCGAGCAACCGAGGCTCATGACTCCTTTTAGAGAACCGCTTGGCAGATAATGGATACAGATTTGAAATCATCGTCTCACGCTGATTCAGATGATATATAGCTTACCTCATTTCGCACTTTCGACTCTGGGTTCGCCCCTTGTAAGTTCCGTTATCCGACACGATTCGCGGAATTCCAGATCGAGCGAATAGCAACCTAAGTTCTTTCAAGGTAGCTGTAGTTGACGATGACGACATTTCCAGCACTTCCGGCCATTTCGAGTACGCATCGACTACGACAAGATTCATCTTTCCATTTAATGGTCTTGCATAGTCAATGTGGATTCGGTTCCATGGCTTTTCTTCCATCTTTTACGAGTTGAGCACTGTCTTGACTGGCATCTTGGCAGCTTCCTGGCACTCCCTGCATCGACGGACTGAATCTTCGATCTCTCTGTTGAAGCCCATCTAGTAGGCAAAACCTCTTGCAAGCATCTTCATGAGTGTCATTCCTTGATGTCCTTCGTGTAACTGCTTCATAACTGCCGATCGCAATGAGGAGGGGATGACTATTCTGTGGCCAAAGTATAAGCAACCATTTTGTACTGACAAGTTCTCACTCAGTGCTTTCGAACTGCTAAACTCTTCCTTCGGTTTGGACGGCCATACTCTCGATTGCAGCATTCGTATGATCTGCATGATGGTTTTGGTGCTTACCGGTTTCCTCTTCGACCTTACTCCTGGTAACTGGTAACGCTCGTACAGCCTCAGCTTGAACAGCTCGCACATCTTCTTTAATCTTTGCAATCACCACGTCCTCGGTTTGGAATGGCCGTGGAGGGATCAATCGAGACAGGGCATCGGCTTGTCCAAACTCCGTCGTTCTTCGGTACTCCAGGTCGAAGCGTATGCAAGGAGAATTAGTTTCCATCGCTGTAACCTGTTTGCTGTATGCACTGGCACCATCTTCTTCGGTCCAAAAATATGCAGCAGTGGCTTGTGGTCGGTCAGCAATCTGAATCGACGTCCATAAATGTAGCAATGGAACTTACGGACTGCAAAGACCAATGCAAGTCCTTCCCTCTCAATCTGTCCGTAATTCTTCTCCGCGGGAGTGAGGCTTCGACTTGCGTGACAGATAGCTTTTTCAGTTCCGTCCGGCATTTTATGTGAGATTACTGCCCCAATTCCATAATCTGATGCGCCGGCGGCAATGACTATCTGCAAACTCGGATCAAAGTATGTAAGAAGCAGATCCGAAACCAAAACTTCCTTGGCGTGCTTGAATGCCTTGTCGCATTCTTCAGTCCATTTAAAGTGTGCGTTCTTCGTCAAGAGTTCGTCCAGGGGCGCACGCAGCTGGCGCATTTCCGTTACGAACGATCCATAGTAATTGATCATACCAAGGAATTAGCGAACATCCGCTATGTCCTTCGGTGCTGGCATTTTGCTTCTTCGGGTCCGGACGGCGTCCATTTCTGTCGATAATGCAACGGAGGTAACAAATTTCTGGCATCAGGAAGAGCACACTTATCCAGTCTGACGTGGAATCCGTAGTCCTTGATACGCCTGAACAACGATATTAAGTTTTTACGATGTTCTTCATACGTCTTGCCTGTGATGATGATATCATCAAGATAAGCGGCTACGCCTTTCATCATCATCATAAGCACGCTTACCATTGCATCCATTATCTGCTGGACGATACCTTGCGCGGATTTTACTCCAAATGGTAGGCGATTGTAGCGATACAATCCCTTGTGCGTGTTGATGGTTAACATCTCCTTCGATTCCTCCTCGACTTCCACTTGTAAATACGCTCCGGCTAAGTCGAGCTGTGTGAAGAGCTGGCCTCCGTTTGATTTTGCGAACACATCCTCCGCTGTGGGCAATGGGTGCTGATGCAACTGCAATGCATCGTTAAATCCTGTCGAGAAGTCGGCACATAGACGATTTTAGACGCTTCTTCTTGAAAGCTGGAACAGCTCTTCAAGACTAACTTTGCCTTACTCTTCGTGCATTTTTCCAAGGGAACGCCATAGATTGTCGGTGTTGTCGGGGTTGCCGAGGTTGCTGATCGTTGTAGGACCTCATGATAGCCTTCATATTTCGCGCGCTTTCTAAACTGTCTCTGACCCCGACAACTCCGACAACACCGACAACATCGACAACACCGACAACACTGACAACACCGACAACACCGACAACACCGACAACATCGACAACCTATGGGCGTTCCCTAAGTCGCTGCTGAAGACTTCCGCATAATTCTTCTTCAAATCGGGGACCACTTCGGCTCGAAATCTCTCTTCACTGGTCACCTTTCTGCAATGGTAGTTGTCCTTCAACATTTTGTATGCCGGCAGCTGGATGCACCATTCCAGTCCTAGTAGATTTGAGCCTTCGGTGACGTAGCATGTGCCATTTCCATGAACCATCTTCCTTGTAACTCGATCTCTAACGGAAAAGTCGGTTGAGAATTTACCATGAATCTGCATCGGCGTTCCGTTCGCGGTTTTCACAGGCATCACACAGGGTTCCAAAGCAGGCGATCCTATCTTCTTCCAAGCTCTATGCGATATCAAGGTTATGTCCGCACTCGTATCCAGCTGGAGCTTGAGATTACATCCTCTAACTAAGACGTCGAGATAAGTCCGCGCACTCTCGGCATCGAAAGCGACCACATGTTTGCACTGTCTTTTGCGACCAAAGTGTTTTGCACTTGTCCTCCATCGCTTCTTCCGGCCAGTGCTGGCAGACTGTGGGCAGTCTCTTCTGAAATGTGGTCCTCCGCAGATGAAGCAATTTACCTTTTTCTTCCATGCAGCATGGATGTCGCGCGTTCCTTCCATGTCTGTATTATCCATTTTCAAGGCAGTAGAATTCTCACATTCCGCAGGTCCTCGATTGTCAACGGTGCTTCGTCCGTGTGAGCGTCCAGTCGACGAATCATCCGAAGACGAACTTCCCTAAGTGAGGGATCTTAAAGACCTGCTCGAACTGCAGCGTCTTCATCGCCGTGTAGTCGACCTCCTTAAGCCGGGCGTCCTCGTCCATCCGCTCGATGGTATTGGCGTACTTGCGGAACGACACGTACGCTGGTGTAAGCGGAGGGCACGTTATCCTGAGGCACTCATACCGTCTCCTGATAAGCGTTTTCTTAGAGGCGAACAGCTTTTGGAGATTCGCGACGGTGGTGTCGAAGTCCAAGTCGTTCGGTTGCGCAGGCAGGGCCTCATCGGCATACTTCCGGTATGCTTCTTCATCCAGCTTCATAAGAATCAAGTCGCGTTTCTTCTGATCCGAAAGCTGGGAGTCGCGAATGACCGGTCCATACCTGCCATACCAGTAAGCAAATGTGTTACCTGTTTCTTCGTTTGAGGTAAATCTCTGCACGTCCTTGCTCAGCTGGTCATGTTGATCCTTACTGGCGTCCTGGACGGCTATCCTTCGGTCACTGGTCAAAGAAGTGACCAACGTCTTCATCTGCTCCTGTTGTGCTTGCAATTGCACCTGCATTTGCTCCTGTAGAGCTTGCGATTGCATTTGCATCTGCTCCTGCTGAGCTTGCCATTGGGCTTGCATATGCTCCTGTTGAGCTTGTAGTCGGGCCTGCATCTGTTCCTGTTGAAGCTGCATATGCATCTTCATCTCCTCCTGTTGGAGCCGCATCTGGTCGACCATGACCGACAGGACCTTCTCCAGAGAGTCGCCGTGCCGTTTCACTGGCTTTCGGCATGGTAGACTTCTCTGGTGTCGACGAAGTCTTCTGCTAAATCGATAACTTCTTAGTAAAGCTTGCTTCCTTGCTCCTCGACCAGTGGTAGCTTCCTCCTCGATTTGAGCTGCAGCAATTCTTCTTGTCCTTGATCGATGGAGGCTTCCGGTCCTTGGTCGTTGGAGCTTCTTCTGGTCCTTGGTCGGTGGAGGTCTTCTTGTCCTTGATCCTGATCGCCAGTTGTAGTAGAACGCTTTGAGTCGTTGACGATTTATTAGAAAAACACAAGAGTTCCCCCTCTGCCTATCGGCGTACATGCCGAGGGTTCACTAGGAATAGCTCGAGAACAACACACAAATATATCAAAGTGCGGCGGGTACGCCGCAACCACAGAGACCGTATCGACCTAGCCTATGGTGAGCGAGCAAGTTTCAATATAAAGAACGGCTCTATAACATCTAGTATGCTGCTGCTCAAGCAGCATTAATCGATCATTTTGGTGACTATGCTTGCAAAGAGAACCTTTCACCAAACTTAAATGTTTGCAAGAGCTTTCCTTGATTTCTTCTTCTTTAATGGGTTGTCAAATAAGTTTGGCAGTTTTCTGCATATGGTATGCGCAAACTTTGGCAGTGTTTATCCCGCGATGTGAGTTACAAATAGAGCGGTTTATTTCTATTTCAGACTTTGGCAACGTTTTTGAGGGTTTCGCTAGGTGTAAAAAGAAAAAATTCGTGGATAGTTTCCATTCTTACGCTGCAGCCACTCGGACTAGGGGGTTTCTCGACATCCAATTACGACTATCATTCTCACTTGGCAAGACAATGCCTTTCTGCTAAGGTCGCAAAAATAGCTCCGTTTTGACGGCAAGTGAATACCATAGTCGTGTTCAGCATGTAAACCACCCTATAATGTAAGGTTTCGGCAAATTTCGGTTTTGCTCACTATTTATTGACTGAGCTTAGCATGAAAGCTGCGTTTTTCAAATCCTCAATGGCGCTAAATTCCGAACAGTCTTCCACTATAAGGTCGTTCCATAAGCAAGTCCATAAGTCGTAGCGTTTTCATTTTTATCTCGTTTTTTGGTAAAGCAGTTGGGTTTTCGGCAAAGTACCTACATCTTTCGAGGGAGCCAAATTTGCTCTACAAAACCTGCTTTGCATTTTCGAAGCTTTTTTAATGATCTTTGGCTTATAATTTCTTGAAGCAAAGCTTTTTGCAGGAAATGGCGATCTAAACACCAGTACTTTTCGCATTCCGTCCGTACCACAAATATTTCTCTACATGCCAGTGGCGGTCCCAGGATTTCCGTCCGGGGGGGGGGGAGGGGCGGCAAGAAATTTTTTCAATGAAAGTGCGTGGCGTCAGCCACGCACTCCGTAAATTTCTTTGGGGGCCCCCGGAAAAAAATTTTTTTACAGGGCTAATTTAAATTTTTAAAAAATTTTTAAAAATTATTTTAACAGTTTGCAAGAATAAGCAAGTCACTTGCTCATTTTTATAACCCATATAAGCAATCTTCAAAATTTTCGCGACCTATTCTCTAGGGGGGGCCTTCCCCCCTCCCCCCCTCGGTCCGCCACTGCCGCATGTATAGTCGGTATAACTAGCAGCAGCAAGGCGGATGTGCTGACACAGTGGTGTTCAGCCAATATGCTAAGAACTGTTTAAATGGGGTCTTAAAAAGTTGCAGTCTTCGACTGCTGTAGCTTGAGTTTTACCTTTATCTCGCAACAGAATGCTCTCGTCCTGCTGTCAGGCCTCAAGCGATGAACAGCTTTGTCTAAGTGGCGCAAAGGTCTGAATGCAAGCGCTGACTAGCAATTTTACGCTTTTTTAAAAAGTCTTAATTTAGAAACTCCCTAACTCCCGCCAAACGCAAAACATTTACAGGTACAGAAGTGCGCTATATCCTTATCTGTAACATCTTCTTGACGAAAAATCTACTTCTGTACGCATCATAGTCCGGTAAACAGTCGTTTCTCATCACTCACAACAATTTCAAACGGAGAATTCCCTCTGGTGATTTCCGCATAGGGCCGACGATGCAGATGTCGAAAACGCCATTTTTTTGCTAAACAAAAAACTTTGCTTTGAGCTGTCACAAAACAAAAATCATTAGGTTCGCTCCAAAGATGAAACGCAGGTTTTGTAGAGCAGAATTGGCTCTTTTGGAAAGTGCAGATATTAGGTTGTCTCATAATTAATTCACGTTACTTTAACCTCTCTTTGAGAGAGCTGGCTTTCAAAAAAAAACATTTTTTTTCAAAACCCTTTATAGTGTCGGAAAGTCCGATTCCTCTAGTTTCTAACACCTGCTTTTGTTCTCGCCAATCTCTGTAGAAACCGAAGTCCATTCCTTCTTAGACAAGTGATTGAAATATGAAATTTTCTCCCTTCACTCTCCTTGCTCTAAATCCATAAAAGGTAGGCGGATTTTCTTTGAAAAATATGCCTAACGAAACTTTGTGCTACGAAACGCATGTCAGTGTGAGACTTTTGAAAAATTCCGAGTCGAGAAATCTTGTCTCAAACTTGGCTGGTCGCTGAGGCCCATCTAACCTGCATGAAAATCTCAGGCAAAAAGCGACGTATAAACTTACTTGATAACCTAAACTTATGTACAAGTAGAGTAGACCTAGTACAACTAAAGCTGGGAGAATTGTAGCATTTCATCGTCTTTTCGAAGAGAAAAAACTCAAAATATCCCAAAAAGGCAGTTTTCTGGATTTTCCAAAATACTGAAAAAATGGGTAATTCCAGTTTTTTTTGCAAAATTTTCACACAGCCGTAAAATTCAAACTTCACTCCATTGCACAACCGATCATCGGCTATATAATGAGCAAAGTCCGCGCGATTCTAATACATTTGAGCGAAAGTTGAGTACAGGTTTAAAAAAAATGTTCGGGAATTTTTTAAGCTATGGCTGCGATCAAACAAAAGCATGCGTTCTATAGTCAAAGGTTTGTGCTTGCAGTAATTTTTATTGCGTTCAAGAAGATGGTTTTGTAATAGAGTTATCTTGATTAGAAGTTGAAATTCATAAAACGTCAGCGACTCGCCACAAGTAAACAATAGTGGCGGACCGAGAAGGAGGCCGCGTGTCGCTAAATTTTTAAATCTCACTTAAATAGGTTATTAAAATGTGCAAGTGACTTGTTCGTTCTTGTAAACAATTAAAATAACTTTTTGGATTTTTAAAAAATTCAAATTAGCTTTGTCAAAAATTTTGGGGACGTGGCGACGGCCCTCCTCTTGAATTCAGAGACTATGGGCCTGCTAAAATTTTGAGAAGCACCCCAAAAAATTTTCGGAGTGATTTTTTCAAATAAAGGTGCATGGCTGACCTCAATTCTGCGACCGCCACTGGTAAACACACATCTCTTTTCAGTAGATTATTAGTAAGTGGCCGAATTCACAGTACTACTGATTGTCTACACGTCAAGATGAATTGCCTTAAATTGAGATTGTCGAGAAAGTGTGTATTTATGTACTTTGTTACAGAAGGCTACTGGCAAAAATCACTTTCTTCGTTTGAATAGACCACGACCACGCAGATTCAGAGAAGTTTCATGGGTCGCGCAGAAAAGCAGCGAGGAGGATTTCAAAAAATGGGAAACAGCTTGTCCAATGTGACTGTTTAGTATCTGGTCCCCCGTTTTGTGAACCCTCCCATTCAAAAGTTCTTGAGTGAACAACAAGGAAATAAAATTCTGATAAATGATTTTTTTCTGTTGAACCAATCGAAAATTGTATTGTGGTTTAAAACTCCTAATGAAGACTGATTTAGACAAGAACGATATACAAGTTTTACGTAAAGAACTAAATTCTACAATTTTTTCAATGATTTCTCGTTTTCGAAGGGCTTCCACAAAGTTTGGCATCATGTAGATTGCGATATGAGCTACAACAAGATAAGCAACAGTCCAAAGAATGAAAAGAAGAATAATTTGCATCCAACTGCTAATGATATTCGAGATCTTCCTGAGTTTAGAGCAGAAATGTGTCATGAACAATAATCAGAATCTAACAAGGAAAGTTCGCTTAGTCGAAGTGGCGATTCGGAAAATGATCTATCTCAGTGGATAGAGCTTGAAATGTTGATCTCAGATATACCTTCTATATCTGCGATGCATTGTTCTGAAAAAAATATGAGCTTTTCTAAGGCCGAATTTTCGTGCATTTTGAGTCGATTGTGATAATTTACACACAGAAGAATGCAAGCTTTAGCAAACTACCCTATTTTCAAGTGTATAAGCCGCACCCTTTTCACTCTAAAGGCGAACACGTCAAAACACTGACTGTCATCATGGAGCGCGTTAAGTGAGAGCAGTACGCGATAAGGTGACCGCTTCGCGAGGTATATGCGCGGCGGCACGCCTGGGTCTGCCCGCGTTTAGAGCAAAAAGGGTGCGGCTTATACACCTGAAAATATGGTACCTTGTAAACGTTGCAGTTCTGATTTGATTTCATCCGAACGTTTTTGAGTATTTTCCGACCACGTTGTTTCTGCACAGGTCGTCATTTCCTTTCTACATCACACTTCCATCATATTAGGTTGGTACAAAAGTTTTGTTAGTTTTTTCAATCCATCGGCAAACACGCTAAAATGAGGATAAACAAATATTTCAAAATGTATCCCCTTTCCAGCTGCTAAACTCCCATGGTGTTTCGTTACGAGAGTGACGAGATATCTGCTGTAAATTACGACCATTCGTTTTTACCACGTCCAATTTTCACTAATTTTCAAAATTTTTGTATGAGACTTTCGAAGAAGCCCTAATAACCAGCAGATAGGGCAAACCTTTTGCCAACTTATGCAGTTTTTTCTTTTTTTCAGCTGCTTTTTCAGATTTTTGCTGAATAATTTTCTAAAAGTCTTGTGTTTTGGAAAAATCGCATGACCTATTATTGTACCAAACACTGCAAAACCTACAGAATACTGAGGTTTCAACATTTAATCATTACTACTGTTATCATTTCAAAGTAAATGAGCGATTTTCGCTCCGGATTATGAAGGTTTTGAATATAGGTCACTTCAGTGCGCATTCCTGAATCTGAGTAATACTGCGACTTTCCCCACAAATTTCGCCTGTCTTGGCAAAAAATACAAGTGTTAGAAGGAAGAGAAAAAGTGGAATGGTGAAAGTGTTTAACATTTTTTGTTCTACGAGGTTAAAATAGGCTGAATGTAAAATTTGGTCACTTTACAAGGTATAGGGCTGCAAAAAATTGCTTCTGTTGGCAAAAGGTTTGCCCTATCTGCTGGTTATTAGGGCTCCTCCGAAAGCCTCATACAAAAATTTTGAAAATTAGTGAAAATTGGAGTGGTAAAAACGAATGGTTGTAATCTACAGCAAATATCTCGTCACTCTCGCAACGAAACACCATGGGAGTTTAGCAGCTGGGAAGAGGAAGGAATTCTGCATCGGATACATTTTCAAATATTTGTTTATCTTCATTTTAGCGTTTGCCGATGGATTAAAAAACTAACAAAACTTTTGCACCAACCTAATATATACAAAAAAGCCCATAAGTCCTTTCAGAAAAAAGCGTCATAGATATTGAAGGTATATTTGAGAACAGCGTGTTACGTCCTATCCATTGGGGTAAATCATCTGCGAATCGCCAATTCGATCTAGCAAACTTCCCTTGTAAGATCCAAAACTACTATTAGATTGTAAAGAAAGTTCATGGGCATTGCTTATTTTTTTCAAGCAGCTGCAACTTCATGCAGAATGATTCCTTTTGAGAGCAGCAATTTTTTTTTGCAAAGAACATGCAGTCTACAAGACATGCATAGTTTATTAAGTTAAAGTACACCATTTCGGGCGACCAGCATGCGCAGAAGGTTTCCTCAAGCATAAAAAGCGCCGGAGAACCTATATCTGTATATCTATCTAGAAATCCATTGGGACTTTTGATAGGCAAATCATAACGGTTCGGTATCACTTGCAAGAGCATTTTTATCACAAAGTTTCAAAATTTTACCGTTTCTGCACCCTAGAAATGTCCCATTTTTGACCAAATGCATCTGAAGCAGGGCTCGGCATAAGCTGGCTTTTCAATTTTTCAAAAACAAATTCACCATATACTTCGTCACAAAAATACGATATCACCTGTGACGCGATCATCAATGGATCAATCACAAAAAAAGAAATATTGGAACAAAACATAAAAACAACATTGAACACACGAAAAAGAACTAAAGATGTTTGTATTCTCCGAATTAGCGGCATACTGCGCTTGGATTTATCAGTCGATTTACCATTGTTCGATAGCTCCTTGTAATTGTCAAAGTGTAATCTAGGCACTAATACCAACAATTGTAAAGAGTTCACAGCCAGGGTCAAGCAAGAGGTGTGGCACACGATCGCTGGTTATGACCCCCCCCCCTCTTATTGCTGTCTCAACAAGACCCCCTGACTTATAAGAACAAACGAGATTTTGGCTTGCTCTTAATTATAAGATAGCATTACTTGAAGGTCCTGTCAAACATAACAGGCAACATATCCATAATCAGCATGTCAATTAACCCCTGTAGACAATGTTTGAGCGAATTCTGAAGTTTCAAGATACTAGGTACGTAAATGAAATCGCCATTTTCCAGCAGGGTTAACTTTGTTTCAAAGGTGAAGTAGCTAGCTGTTTTTGCACTCAAGACAAAGCACTACTCCTTGTTTGGCCACTTCAGAAATCTCGCTTCAAAAGACCTCCTAACTTTAGAATTGGAAGCCAAACAAAATCTTGTTTTTCCCATTTTTCGCTTTTAATGGCTGTGATTTCACCAAATATTACTCAGAGCTAAGAAGACGAATCAGGATAAAATCATTCCTATGGAATTTACGAGGTCTCGGCTATCGATTCATGCAAGTAACGTTCGCTAAAAGTGTTTTTTGTATAGTTAATGGGGTGCGGCACCACCCCTAAAAAGCTATAGCAGCCACAGCTTTTTAAGGGTGGTGCCACACCCCATTAACTTACCTTCAAACAGATCAAATAGCTGCGTTTTTTATATCGTTGTTACTGCTTAACCTTTTTTTTACATAGCAGAAATTTGATATGAGAAAGTTTCTTCAAGTGCAAGATATAATCGTTTTTCCTTACCCATGCAAACGTAAAATACTGGTAAAATACTGGGAAAATATTGGGATACGATAAAATGCTAAGTCTGCGCTACTACGTAAATCGCAAGGGAAGGCGACAGGAATGTATATATTCGATAGCCTAAGCCTCCTAATCTACATTAAAGTGATTTGAGCCTGATTGGTCTTCTCCAGCCTGAGATATGAAAACGAAAGATGGACTAACGAAATTTCGGCTTGCTCTTAATTCCTTAACTTGGAGGTCATTTGAAGTAGGAATCCTAATGTGAGTAAAGAAATAGTAGTTCTTTGTATTAAGCGCAAAAAGAGATAGCTAACTTACCTTTGAAACAAAGTAACATGTCTGAGAACGTCTGTCTGAAGGCTTAGTTGTAGGGTTTTTGAGGCAGAACAAAGTTATATAATACATGTGAAGGAACTACTGAAGAAAGGAAAATCTATCTTTACGCTGTGATATATGTTCACAAAAGCCTTACCATAGAAAATAACAAGGTAATACCATATGTCTACCGTGTCACCATGAATTACGACATACCCGTATATCAAAAGATTCGTCTCATCAAGCTGAAACCAAATCTTCACGCAGATTACAAATAGAGATGTTTTAAAAGAAGTTATAGTTATATTTCGCTTATCCCGCAAATCCCGCGAATCCCGCGAATCCCGCGAAACCCGATCCCGCGAATTCCGACAATCCGCAATTTTGGACAAATTCTACCGCTACAACTGTATTTTAAATGATTTTCATACTAACCCCGCAAACAAGTCCAATTATCAGTGAATAGAGCAAACCCTATATGATACGAAACGATTCTTTTCTGCTATACATGGCTCGCCACAATTTTTTGTGAAATATCAGAACCACCGAATTTTACCATGCCCAGACGAGACGACGACTTCAGACGCAAAAGCATCAAGCACCGGTAATCTCCCCAAATTTGAACTTGCAAAAGTGGATCATTATTCGACAGTGATTTTGCAAACAAATGAGCGTTCAAGAAATCGAATTATCCAATCTCTACTTTTCCGCGTACAGCCTGGAGCTTCAAAAACACGAATTATGATGATTTCATCTCCGGATACATTACGAATCACAAACAAAATTACTTGTTAGAAAGAAGAGAAAATGCTGCAACTGATAACACCTAAGCTGCTCGCCGATTGATGTTCTATGAGGTTGTAACTGACAAAATATAAAACTTGATACCACCAAAAAAGAATTTTTTTGCAATTTTTGATAGCAAGCTACAATACCGCTCACATTTTTTGAAAAATAGACGCGAATGTATGGACATGTATGGACATGTACGGATATGTCCATACATGTAGCGTCGCGTGGCCATATTTCGCTTCAGAGTGGACGAATTCTAAATCCAAAGCTATCATTCGATTCAGCTTGGCGCGGAGAATCTTCTGATATATTGGATGTGGGGGTACGATGTTTTCGATATTCCGTTTTCAGTTTTTTCAATCTGTTCTGCGGAGGTCCTTTCGCGAATATGTGAAGCAACGCCTATCCAACATAGAAGACTTTACTAGGTGCTATTCGATAATACTGTTCTTGTAGATTATTGTGCGCTAAAAAGTAGGCTCAGACTTCTTTTCAAAGGAGATAGAAACGTTGGTGAATTTTG